AGGTGTTCATGATGCGGTCGGGGAACTCCTCCCGGATCTTGCTGATGAGCAGCGTGCCCATCCCCGACCCCGTGCCGCCGCCCAGCGAGTGGGTCAGCTGGAAGCCCTGCAGGCAGTCGCAGCTCTCCGCCTCCTTCCGGACCACGTCGAGGACCGCGTCCACCAGCTCGGCGCCCTCCGTGTAGTGACCCTTGGCCCAGTTGTTGCCGGCTCCAGACTGGCCTGAAGGGGGGGAGGGGAAGAGGACACGCGGGCCGTTATGGGGAGAGCCCACCCCCCACTCATCCTAGTAGTTGAATAATCCTAATAATAACAACACAATTGTGATACATAATTTGAGTCATTATGACTTGGTTATTGTCGGTAGGTAGTCGGGTAGTCGTCTTTGGCTCCCATTCTTGGTCCCCCGCCCCCAGCAGGGGGTCCCGCCGGCTCGCACACCTTTTCTCTCTTTAATGTCTGCTCAGCCCAAGCCCTGCTCACCTTCTAGGCTGCAGGTATTAGTAATAATGATGAAAACAAAATTCTCATTTACCTTTTCCTCTGTGCTAGGCATGGTTCTACATTCTGTACACATATTAATAATGGCTTTAAGCCTCTCAGTCCTGTGAAATAGATCTTTTTTATCACCCCCGTTTTAAAGATGAGACAGGAACAGAGAGACTGAGGAACCCAAAGTCCCCCGGCCGACTGGATCGGCGCCTGAGTTTTACTAATTTACATTCTCACCCCTCCTCTCTCCGCCAGGACGTCACTGCCAGGGGCAGAAGGCTTTGTCTGTTTCATTTTTGGCTGTATCCCCAGGGATACAGTAGGGCCTGGTGTGCAGTAAGTGCTCAATAAGCATTTGTCCGATGCATGAAGTGGCAGGACTGGGATTTGCACGCAAGCAGTCTGGCTTTGGTCCATACTGTTCAATTAAAACGGCACCTCCTCCAGGAAGCCTTCCCTACCCACTCTCACCCCTCCATATCGGATGGGTCTCCCACCACAGTGCTGACTGCCCTGCCCGCCGCCCCCACTGGGCTGTGGGGCCCTGTGGTCACCATTGCGTCTCTGATAATAGGTGAAAAAATTTCGCCAAGCATTTGGAAGCGAAAGGCATGAGGAGGCTTCTCTGCCCGTGCTCTCTGCCTGGGACTCACCGAACACAAAGTTGTCAGGCCGGAAGATCTGGCCGAAGGGGCCGGAGCGCACTGAGTCCATGGTGCCCGGTTCCAGGTCCACCAGCACGGCTCTGGGGACGTAATTTCCTCCTGCGGGGAGGCAGATGGAGGGCAGATGGAGTGAGCACCAGGAACCAGCGGGCCGTTCCCTCCCAGGCCCTCCCTACCCCCACTCTGGCAGGTGCCCCTGGGCCCTACCTGTGGCCTCATTGTAGTACACGTTGATTCTCTCCAGCTGTAGGTCACTATCCCCGTGGTATGTGCCCGTGGGGTCGATGCCGTGCTCATCACTGATCACCTCCCAGAACTAGAGGGGCGGCGGTAGGAACCAAGGTGGGTGACGGGGGTGGCAGAGGCCCAGGCCTGCCCCGGCCTCCATCTTCTGAGCTCAGGACCCCCGACCACCTCCCTGGCTGCCACCTGTCCCCCAGCAAGGTGAATGGGGTACCTAGAGGCATGGTGGGAGGCAGGGGATGAAACAGCAAGAAGGGAGAGGTGCGGGCGGGGGGAAGCGGAGTCACCATCCTACCCGAGCAGGCTGGGGTCAGCGCGGCCGCTGCAGCCACGGGGAGGGGCTGGGTCTCTTTGTGGGTGTGCAGGGGACAGTGGGCCAGCTGTGAAGCCAGCTGTGGCCAGCAGAAAGAAGGCTGGGCCCCACCCCCATCAGCCTCTTTGTTCCCAGCCTGGCCCTGCCCCCGCCCCCGCGCCACCTCCTCCACCATCCCTGGGGTGCTGGCCTCCTGGGGTCCCCGTCCTCCAAAAGACCCAGAGTGGGGGAGGCCAGCGGAGTTCGAGAACCCCGCGCTGCCCCTCTCGGCCGCCTCCCGAGGCGGGTTCCCCGCGCACCTTGGCCCCTATCTGGTTGCCGCACTGGCCGGCCTGCAGGTGCACGATCTCGCGCATGGCGGTGGCGCTGCTGGTGGACGCGGCCGCGGTGTCGTTGATGCTGGGAGCCGCGGTGGCGGGGCCGGAGGTGGACCCAGTGGTGACGGCGGCAGCGACGAAGCAAGGACCCTGCGCCCCCGGGGCGCCTCTATATGAGCGGGCGGGTCCCGCGTCACCGCCGGTCACCGGCCAGCTCCGCCTCCCGTCCCGCCTCGGGACGGAGAGGGCGGGGGTGGAGGGAGCTCCCTCCCCAGAGGCCGGGAGACCTCACGGAACACGGGCCAGGGTTCGCCAGGGCCGCGTGCGCCCCCAGCCCGGGCCGTGGCGGAGAGGCCTCTCAGGTGCTTTCGGCACCATCTCCCCCAAACCCCTCCCGCCCCTAGCCAGGCCCGGCGACCCGAGCGTGCAGAGACTGGGCGGGGGAAGGAAGAGGCCGGGTAAACAAGCGGTGGGGAGATCCTGCAGCCCCCATTCCACCCCGCGCGTGGGCCGCCCTGCCTCGGTGTCTCTGTCCGCAGCCTCCCTCCCCATTCCGTTTATGGACCATTCTCCAGAACCCTTGTGTTACTGGGAGGGCTCCTAGTGGGGGGTCCAGCTGGGGGCTCCGTAGCTGTGATCTTGTTTTTGGGGGGTGGTCGGTTCCTGGAGGGCTTGTCTTGAAGCTTCGCAGTCAGTAAAACCACGATTCCCTTTGGTGTTTCACCAGCCATGCTTGTGGAGGCTGCAGGAGATTTGGGGGGGACCCCTGGACACCTTCGTTGGGCTTTGGGTTGTCAAAGGTGGGGTCACCCCCAGCCTTTCCCGGATGGAACACGGAGCTTTAAGATTTCTGGCTGGACTTCACCGGGCATAGTGAGCCCCCTTGGGCTGATTTGCTTCCCCAGATCGGCACTCCTCTGCTCCAGTGTTATAATTTATCACAATTTATTACAAGCCATCACCCTACCTTCCCATTTCTTATTAGACACATGACCCTCCGTGGGCAGCTTTGCCTCTCTGTGGCTGAACTGCCTCCTCTGCAAGAAGGGGCAGTCAGGAACGCCCACCCTCCCGTCCAGTTGGAAGGGTCCAGTGAGATGGCCTTGTTCACGAGATGGCCCCAGTTTCCCCTCCCACAGAGGAAACAATACATTGTAGCTATTAGTATTACAATTATTATCTCCGGCTGCTCAAGACTTCCTGCGCTGCCCCTCTTGGGGGTCACTGTCTGCTGGCAGCCTCCAGTTCTGCCAACCCAGTAGCCTCCTCCTTACCCCCCAGAGCTTCCGGCTATTGTGGGGTGGCAGTGGGGTCAGTCAGGTCAGCTGTATGGCAGGGTGGCCTCTAGTTTTGACCAGTGGTTCTCGACCCGGGGCAGTCCTGCCCTCCAGGGGACGCTTGGCAACATCTGGAGACATTTTTGTTTGTGGTGCCTGGATGGGGGTTGCGCGTGTGCTGATGGCGTCTAGCGGGCAGATGGTGACAAACATTCTACAATGCAGGGTGCAGTCCTTCCCCTACATCCCCAAAGTCCGATCTGGCCCCAAATGTCAATAATGCCGAGGGCTGAGAAACCCTGCGTTAATTATTTGGGGAAAAAATTGAGTTTGACCCGTAGCTCACACTGGACTCCAGATGAAAATCGTGGTGGGTCAGACGCTATAAACACCTGGTATTTGGGAGTCACCTCCTCTTTCTGTTCCCACTCAGGCCGCGTATCTCAATGCGCAGTTCCAGGGTCTCAGTAGGCAGGTGGGTATGGGACGCGGAGCCCCTGCGGCCAAGAGTTATCGGCCCCAGATGCCAATGTCAATAGTGCCGAGGTAGAGAAAGCCCGATGTAGACTTTTGAGGTTGTCACCCAATGCGAATGTTGCCCTGGCTGATCCCGGAGACGCAGGGCCCGGAGCGCAGTGGGCGGTCTACCAGCCCACGTTAACATACACCAGAAGCTCACGAACGCATGGTGGCTGTTCTTTTTGATAAACCAAGAGGCGTAAAAACAAAAAAGGAGGGGTTCTTGCTGGGAGAGGCTGATTTGGGTCTCAGCCCATGGGAAAACGGGGTTTACTCTGTCACCCCACCCTGGCAGGGCTGACTTGGGGGTGTGGCCTGAGCTCCAGAGGTGGAGCTTCCTGTAGTAGGCTGCCTGGGAAGGTACCACTACTTGGAGAGGACAGGCCCTGCAGTGGGTGCCTCTGCCTTTCTCTGCACCAGGGCACCCTTGGGCTCCCTGATGGCCTGGGGGGTGGGATCCAGAGGGAGGGCAAGGGGGAAGAGAATGGAGAGCAGGGAGCGGGCAGCTTTCTAGCACCTGGGGCTGCTGGGACCTGGCATCGCTAGAGAAGTAAAGGACCAGAGATATAGAGAGCCTGCAAGGATGATGTGGGCAGGGGTTGGGTACGGACACCACCCTGCACCCCATGGCTGCCCCCTCCTCAGTCTGGTGTCATCCCAAGAGCTGCAGAGTGCCGGGTATACCCATGGTTTCCAGGCAAGCAGACCCTTCCTGGTGCCCGGGCGTCCAGTGGCATCACCTGGCACCCAGAAAGCCATTAGGGCTCTCTGCAGGAATCTGAAGACCACACTGCAGGGGTGGTGCCAAGAGTCCAAGATCTGGATGCAGCCAGTGAAGAGCGGGGGGCGAGAAGAGGAGCTGGATGGGGGCCGTCAGAGACGGGTTTCCATCCCCAGGCGCAGGCAGCACCTTGAAGCGCCCCCTAGAGGCGGACACCCATCCACCTGGGGCTGCGTTTTTGCGCCCCCCTGCCTGTCTGCCCCTGGACGGCCATGGCGTGGGGCAGGACATTCACCTTGCCAGTTTTGTACGGAAATGGATTTCGGCATCTGAATAGGGTATTGGCTGTAGGCCCCAAAGCCATCATTGTAAGACAGTTTTATGCTATTAAGTACACGCTAGTGTTGGGAGACCTGTTCGATGTGGAATGATTCCCCAGCCAGGCGCGACCCTGCGGGCAGGCGCCCACTTGGCCTGAACCCCCACCTCTTGCCGGCGGCGTCAGATCTCCAATGAGCCAGGTCAGCCTCAACAGGGAGCCCTCAAAAAGAAGGGGGTGGGCTCCCGATTTTGAAATAGAAAACAGAAAAAAAAGTTTTAAATACTGGGTTAAATTTACTTCCTTGATATGAGCAGGATGAATGAGAGAACCAGGACATTCTGCTCATGAAATCGACCGTCCTTTCTTTATGAGGTCCACAAAACCACAGAAAAGCCTGCTTCCTACTTGTGTGTGACCAGTCTGCCACGTAGGGGGCCACACTGCCATCCCACCTGAGCCCCTCGAGGCACTGCTGATACCCGCCTCAGTCCCCAGTCCACCCTCGGGGTCCGAGAGGGTCGGTTTTGCCGATTATTAAAGATAGCAGTCACATGTAGGTTGTATCCTATTCTAAGTGCTTTGAGTGTGTCAGCTCGTTTATGTTTGAACTCGGTGTTCCCCAACCTTTTTGGCACCAGGGACCGGTCTGAGCGAAGCTGAGGCGGTGATGCCGGCGCTGGGGAGCGGCTGCAGATACCGATGAAGCTCCGCTCACTCACCCGCTGCTCACCTCCTGCTGTGTGGCCCCATTCCTAACAGGCCACGGACAGTACCGGTCCGCAGCCCGGGGGTTGGGGACCCCTATTTGAACTCATGACATCACAGTCCTGGGAGGCAGATGCTGTTTGTGTGCCCATTTTACAGATGAGGAAGCGGAGGCCTGAGGAGATGGGGCATCTCAGCCGGTGTCACACAGAGCTGAGGCTGGGATAGGGCCCTTGTACTGCAGCTGCGAAGTCCCTGCTCCTTAATCACAACGAAAGCTATAGTTACTCTGTTACTTTGTCTTTAAAGAAAAAAGGCTGTCAGTCAAATGGGTGTCTTTCAAAAAGAAATGTTGCTGGGTTGCTGGTGTAAAAGCAGTTGTGTGACTGCCACGTGTTCTGTGGCCTGAGCCTCCGCCTGTGTCATTGTCTGTCTACCACAGTGCCCAGGTACTCTGGGCCGGCTCCGATGCATGTGATGATCCAATTCTGGCACTGGAGTCTATGCTCTCTTTGTCCATGGGGCCTGTGGGTCATAAGGTCCTTACTGCTCAGACTTTAGACCTCAGCTGGGTCTGATTTCTCTTCCCCCTGCCGCTGGCAGAACCCAGCCCCGGGCGTGGACCCAGCCTGGCACAGGCCCTCTCCAGCTGCAGGGAGCAGGAGACAGGGTTGTGGAAGTTGCCGTTTTGGGACATAAACACTGAATGAGCCTTAAGAACAGATAGGCCCTCCCCTTCCCTCCCCTCCCAACTCCAAGGGCGCACACACGAGCTCTGTGGGAGCCGTGCCTGGCACTGCTGGCACCAAGCACAGGGTGGGGGAATGGGGGACAAAGGAGCATTCTCTGATCTTGCTGAGTGTGTGGCCCACCTCCTGCCAACACTCACCATCAGATACGACGTGGAATACCTCCCGAAAGAGGCGTGCTCAGAACAGAAAGGTTTCCTGGGAGATGGGCAGGGGGAGAGCTGACGCGGCTGGGGCTGGGCTGAGGAGGGGACCTTCCCTGTTCCCCTCCCACCTGCCTACTCACTTGGCATGAGGGTGTCTTCAGCGTGTCCTGTGCAGGTGCAGTTGATGATGCAGCTGATCTCACAGTTGAAGGAAGCCAGGTCAGGCAAGCACATGGCCAAGAAGCAGGGCCTCAGGTGACCGTGGTCACCTTGGTGATGCTGGTCAGGGGGCCGCAGGCCATGCCACCAAACACGAAGGCATCCAGTTGCTTGTAGACCATGGCCACATAGGTGGTGCTTATGAAGGCTGGTGAGCCTAGCCACAGGGGCTGGACACGGTCACCTCTCGCAGGCCAATCTGCGGGGTGGGTGCAGGGTAGGCAGGGACCGCTGCTGAAGGCAGGGGTGGGGATAGGAGTAGGAAATTCCCAGCCCTTTTTCTCAGATGGGTCGCATTTCCCACTTCATACAGAAAGGAGGGTGTAGTGGGCATTTCCCACTACACCATGCAAAAGGGTGGGGCCTCCCATTTCATCACAGGCACACACGCACACACACGCGCACACGTGCACACACGCACACACACGCACAAGCATGCGCACGCACACACGCACG